CCAACCACACTATATGGGACCGTTCCTGGTTCTGGAAAAGAAGCCAAGTGGCTTCGTTGTACAGATCAATGGACGACGAGACACCATCGCTCTCGAGCGTCTAAAGCCAGCCCATCTCGAGCACGCACCCGTGAACCTCATCACATGTGAGACGCGCGAGGAAAGTCCGAAGTCTCGCAGGAAGTCTGTTCAAGTTCATTGGACAAACTCATGGCCAGAGCTAGCGCCCTAATTGTGTGTTGTCGTTGTTCTTTTCGTTTTCTTTAATCGCTCGTCGGGGCTCCTCGCTAAGGGGGGGGCATATCTGTAGGGTGCAGCGCACCCACAGATCCATTCTTCTCATGAAAATAAAAGAGATGGCTCGAGGCGCAGCACGCGCACGCGCCTCGGGGAGCGCGTGCAAGAGAATGCTCTGAAGCCGCCATCACAGGCAGACACGTCGTTCGCTTGTCTCGTTCTATGTCCTCACTTTAAATAACGTGGCAGGGCCTCGCGGCCCCCCACACAGAGGTCGAAGCGGTGTATTGCCTCGCCCGGGGGGCCCCGAAGGGTCCAAACATACCCCGGGCTCAGCTCAACCACCAGGGTCCCCTTTTCCCCGGACACGGGTTAAGCCACGCACAGCCAGGCGTGGGTGGGTAAACCCACATGGCTCGGGGTTCGCGGTGGCGCCACTCACCAAGCACCTACCAAGGCAGGTGCCCCCTGCGTGCGGGTATGGTGGCCCGCGTGGCTGGGGTCCGTGGTGGCGCTACTCACCAAGCACCTAACACCGAAGGTGTAGGCGCCCCCTGCGGGGAAAGGCAACGAACATATAATCCTATAAAGGTGGGGAAGGGGGGGCCACAAACATTAAATCATGCGAGGAAATGAGGAGTGAAATGTTAGAAAAGGGAACATACGAGAGATGGGACGGGAATGGGGTGAGATTAAAGAAAAGTGAGTGAGAGGGGGGGGGGGGCAGGTAGGAAGGAGATCTAGCATCAAGGGCCACGGATACAAGGACGCACTCCGCCGACCACTCAAAATGAAGGGCCCCAAGGGGGGAGGCACTCACTTTATCGAGTGACGTGTTAGCGAATGTCCACATTTCACCGAATGACACCTTAGCTAGCGAAAATTCGGACGCTGCGAAGCGGCGTTTTCGGGAGGGCCAAGTGGGTTCACATTTTTGTAATGAGCCGCCGCAGACTCGCCGCGCGGCGGATGGGTTAACGCGCGCCCCCGTTATTCGCTAAAACGTCGATTCACTCAAATGCCGCTGTTTGCTAAAACGTCATTCGCTCATCTAATATGGACCCTAATTATAATGAAACGAGTATAATCGCACACACATTGTTAGCCCCCGTTCACTTCTTGCCAAAGAGCCGTCGACACGAGAACATATTTGAGCTTGAGGCTTCGAAGCTCGCTCTCCGTGGACCACTCTTTGCCTACATTTGTTATCTGGACACATCACAATGGCACAGCACAGTCGCATAGCTACGGTACTACCGAATCGATGTTAACAGTTCACTATGGTCACCGATATTACGGTCGAGGTCATCCACTGATCACTGCCAGACGTTGCAAGATCGCCATCGTCCGCCATGATTGCACACTAGTACGGCATTACGGTTATCGCTGTACGGCTTATACCAATTTCCAATTTCTCCAATCGATGTAATGTTGTATAACTCTTAAAAAAAAGTGAAAGCCGTTTACAAATCCCTGTAACGCCAAATTGGAGCGCAGCTCTTGAGGAGGAGGAGTGAAGGGTACTGAGGGGAGGGTAGACCCCTCCTCCTCCCCTCATTCTTTAATATGCTCCGGGGGGCGGTCACGTGACCTCGGGGGGGGGGGGGGTGTCACGTGACTTCGGGGAGGGGGGTCACGTGACCTCAGAGGGGTCACGTGGGGGTCACCTTGGGGTCACGTGACCTTGAGATGACCTTGGGAGGGGTCACGTGACCTTGGGGAGGAGACCACGTGACCTCGGGGGTCACGTGACCTCAGAGGGGTCACGTGACTTGGGGGTCACGTGACCTTCAAAGGGTCACGTGGGGTCTTGGGGTCACGTGACCTTGAGATGACCTTGGGAGGGGTCACGTGACCTCGAGGGGTCACGTGACCTTGGGAGTCACGTGGGGTCACGTGACCTTGAGATGACCTTGGGAGGGGTCACGTGACCTGGAGGGGTCACGTGACCTTGGGATGACCTTGGTAACGCCGACGGCGACGCCGCTCAAGCCGGGAACGGGCCCCTAAGAGCTGCGCTCTAAAAACTTATTTTAGTACTGTCAGATAAATTTCCAGTTTATTCCTACTTGAAACTTGATGTTTAGTCGTTTACTCGTTTACGCGCACTGTTGACAAGCCAAGATGCCAAGAGTGCAAGTAGCTCAAGCCAAGCAAGGTCGAAGCCAGGTTGACCACGTGACCGCATGTCAACGGACCGTCAAGGCCTGTTTCATCGGACCGCTCTGCTGATCTCTCGGCGTGGAGGAAACGTAAACAAAGGTATGTTTCATTTTCGTTGTTACTACTTGTGCTGAACAATGGAGCGGGCGAAGCGTTCGCTATCAGAGCCATCCGATCGCCAAAAAAGACGTAGAGTAGCCGAAAGTGTTTGCAAGGAACTTGAAAGTTGCGGTACGAGCAGTGAGGAGTCGGTGGACACTGAGGAAGCATACCCTCTTTCACCTGGACAACAGGCCGTGGCAGCACATGCAAGTTTTTCCGGAGAGTTTGAATACCAACGAGCTTCCGAGTGTGAATCTGAGTCGAGTGATACGAGTGGTGCACGAAATAACCTAATCTCAGAACACCTGTGTCAAAATCCCCGCTGCGAATTCCCCGCGTTACCTTCCCCTCCTCAAAATCCCCGGCACTCAAAACCCCCTTTCCTTTATCCCCTTATCAGTTACCCCGGGCCAGTGGTCCTTAGAAACCATTTGGAAAAGCGCTTTTATGGACACTTCATAAAGCTGAGCTGTGTTATGACCATCCTAGCCAGCCCCAAATTTTCTTTGACACATTGTGATCTTGCAGAATCTCTCTTGAGAGAGTTTGTTTCTGGAGCTGGTACCTTGTATGAGGGGGTTTATGTCTACAACATGCACTCCCTGATCCACCTGACAAGACGTTCGACGGTTCGGCCCTGTCAACACCTTCTCGGTCTTTCCCTTTGAGAACTTCCTTGGGAAGCTCAAGAAGTTGGTGAGGGGTCCTTCCTTGGCACTGCAGCAGGTTATCAAGAGGCACTCAGAAGTGAATCCCACCACCGTGTCAAGTTCTGTGCAACAGAAGTATGCTCTGCTCAAGCAACAACCTGAGCCGCCAAGCTTCAAGAAAACCCAGTGCAGTGAGCTTGTTTTAGACGGAGCACATTTCTCTCTGAAGGCGTCCGACAACTGTGTTCAACTGAAGTATGGCAACATTGCTGTTGTTAGGAACTTCATTGAGTCAGATGGGAACCGTAGCATCTGCGGACAGTTTTTCCGAAATCTCGGCAACATTTATACTTCAAAGCTGCCATCATCAGAGCTAGGAATTTTTAGAGCTACAGGGCTCTCCATGCAGTATTCAGTGGGGAGTGTGCAGGACATCAGGTGGAAGTGCGTCTGCTTGCAATATAACCAGGGACATGATTGTAAACCTGAGACTGGGGCAGAAAGGAGAACACAGCAGAAGGTAGAAAAAGAGGAGGCAATGTCTCAAACTCAGCTGCAAAGTTTATTTCGTACACGCCTTTTTTACCACAACTCCAACGCTGTCTCTACAAAAAAAAAATATATATGACAAGGGGACAATGAAATTTGGGTAAACCTTCTCTTATCTCCCTTGACCTCTCCTGCGAAACACTCACACAAAGGGTCACATTCTAGCATAACCACTGCCATTCGGCGTTGGAGTTGTGGTATATAAGGCGTGTACGAAATAAACTTTGCAGCCGAGTTTGAGACGTTGCCTCCCCTTTTTCTACCTTCTGCTGTGTTCTCTTTTCTGCCCCAGTCTCAGGTTTACAATCATGTTCAACTTACACCAGCTCGCCTGCACTCTGACTATTTTTTCGATAACCAGGGCTATGCTGTTTTTTTATCTACTTCACTTGCAAGTGTGATCTATGTTTGCAACTATTGTACATTGGTTGTGCTTAATTCGAAAACTGTATTTTTGGTGACTTATGACTGGTCTTTAAGGTAATAACGGCTTTATTTGTTGATTGCAGGAAATGTACTCTCTTGTCCATTTTTTGGCGGAAAATGATGTCGCAGTTGTCCCTACCTGTTGGGTGTGCAATGGCTGCACGGCATGGCCACCCTACAAATCAAATCGGTTGATGATGGCAATTAGAGAGCGTGAAGAGCCCTGGACTGACTGGGCCACATTCTCCTGTCAGGTGATGGCATCATGTTGTAAGTATAGCAGGGTGTCTAGTAACCGGGAAAACCGGGAATTGTCAGGGAAATTTTAATTACCGGGAAAAATCAGGGATATTGTCAAATATCAAGCCCAGTCATTGAAAATGAGCCGGAAATGCCATTGAGTGCCCTGAGCAAAGAGTTGAGAACCTTGGGGCAGAGAAATAGGCAATAAATTCTGCTTAGAGCGGAGCGCGGACTCTGCTCACCCAATGTAGAGTGTGCTAGAGCACTGCACGAGCCAGAATTTCGAGACCCGGCCCGGTAGAGGCACGGCCCGGGTTTGGCCCGAGCCTAATAGAATATTTAATTTCCGGGCCCGGCCAGACTTGGCCTTGAAGAGACACGCCTCGGGCCCGGCCCGGACCCGACAGAATTTTAGACAGAAGCTTGAGCCCGGCACGAGCCCGACAAAATTTTTGTTTTCTTTAATATAAACCTGTGCTGGCCCAATCCTCACAGATTATATACATGAGCCCGAAAAAGTTGGCAGGCTTTAACCTAAAAGCTGTCTAACCATAAAGCGAGCATATTTGATTTAATGAAAAAAAGTTTAGGGTGAAAACAAGCTTGTGGTGGTTAAACATTTGACCGGTGTGCTTGGCTTTCTTGTTTCAGTGACATATAAAGATGCAAAGTACAAAGAAAAAAAATTCGGAAGCGACGTCCGACCTAACATTGAATAATGAAGAGCGGGAGAAGAGAAAAAGGAAGAGACTGCAGCATACTCTTTCTTCATTTGAGGATGAGGACTTCTATGACCAAGATGTATGCACCTAAATTTCTGCAACACCTTTGTATTCGGGATTCATTTGCCCTCCTTTTTCATCAAGCTTGCTTCTTCTGCAGGAACGACGTAACACTCAGCCAGCCCCTCAACTTCCAGAACGTGCACCAGAGCCCAAGCAAAAACGCACACGTGTATGTTTGCTTTTTGTTGCTGCAATTTCTTAACGCTTTCCAGCATTTAGATTTTATATTTTATGTGATTAGCCTCAGCTTGGTTCGCCACAATTGTGATAATGAATGGTATCCATATTGTTTGTTGAGCACCTGCTGTTTTGGTGTTTCTTTTAGAGCGCAGCTCTTAGGCGCCCGTTTCCGGCTTGAGTGGTGTCGCCGTAACCGCGGCGACGTTTCGGCAAGGTGACGTTTCGGCACCATGCCAAATTGTCTTCGGGGGGTCACGTGACCCCCGTCAGGAGGGTCACGTGACCTCACGTTTACGGCGACGCCGCTCAGAGGGAGGTGTGGCAGGGAGGAGGGGTATACCCTTTCCTCGGGACCCTTCCCTCCTCCTCTAGAGCTGCACTCTAATTTAGCGTTACAGGGAGTTGTAAACGGCTTTCATTTTTTTTATCTAGTCATTTTTAATTTACAAAGCTGCTAGTTGTGGTATGCTTCCTCGCACAAGGACAGTTATAGCCTAAGGGATGGTGAAGTAGATATTTTTAATTTGACGGTGCATATGTTTGCTTTGTATTGCTGCAACCTCATGTTTGCATAATTCTGCTGTGCTAGTCATTTTTATTTTACAATTTAATTCATTTTGTTTATTTATCTACGCTTTCTGGTCAAAGGATACATTAGAATGCTTGCTGTTTGTGCACTCTAACCCTAGCACTTTTTATGAACCTGTCCTCTGCTTTATATGTGGAATGGTTTGGGCAGCGTTAGGATTGACCACTTCTTAAAGAAAGGTGGTACATTTTGTTTTACACCACCGAGCACTCTTTGGTGTAAGGTACATTACCACATAGCTGAATGACACAATCAGCTATACAAGTTTGCAAGCAGTCATGTTTCCAAAAGTAGTCTAGCCACCATGGGTAGGGAAACGTGCTCTCAGGGTACCAATCTGTCAATTAGCTTAGTGACGCTTTAGCAAGCCTTCATAATCGGATTATCTGGGGTGCACCCGAGCTGGAAGATGGCAGCGCGCAAGGGCCCGTCATTCAGACTCTGTCTCATTTTTGTTAGTGAGAGAAAACAAAGGCTTCTTCAGTATCATCTAGGAAAACCACATGTCCAATATTATCTCCATTTAAATCTTTATGAAATGGATCAGCAAACTGCTAACCCTAGCTGACAATGTAGGCGCAAACGACAGCGCAGTTGCTACTACGGCTTCAGTGCACCGAACATCAATTTACTATGTCAGGTGCATTGTTACGTTTTCTTTGTTTTTTCCATGCACAGTCAGTCCTTGACTTGAGCAATGTCTTCTCCAAAAGTTGGTTCAGCGGTGTCCACACGATTGGCACAGACCTGGATGTGCACGTTTCTCATGGTTCACCTCTGTTAAATAATAATGGCATTGTTTGCACAATGTTCACATACTCAATGGCTTATTTATGTACTATTTAGTAGACCTCGCTGCATACTAATGTTCCTGAGATATTTATTCCTTTGAGAAAACTTGGCTTTAGCATAGGTTGCAGTGGTGCAGATGTCGTCCGACACGGAGCAGACAACACTCAGGCCCGTCTGTTTGCGTCGTCCTCGCAGGGGTAGCACATCATCATTTGTACCATGGGATTGGTCATGTCTCCTCTGTCTCGGCCATCGTTGCCTGTAGAAGCCGATGTTTCGGGTTTTATTTGGGCTATGTTTAAAGCAAAATTGCATAGGAAATATTCCACCAGTGCATGAAATAAAATAGTTATTTTTATATTTCTTTTTAAATTTATTTTTTATTTTTATTTGAAGTCTTATAATTCCAAAAGTTTTGGAATTAAGCACAGTTGCCTTTTAACAACAAATGGCTATAGCTAAACAGGGCACACAAGTGAGGAGCTTTTTTTTCTAAAAAGGCGAAATCCACATGAAGCAAAACAGATAAATTGGTATGTTTGCTTATCAGTATAGCTTTGAGCCATGTGCCGCAGCCACCTCTGCTGTGGTTTCTATAGCGTACCCTGACCGATTTCACTGTAGTAGCATTTGAGATCGATGGGCCAACGAATATAGTTTGAATTCATACAAAAATTTGCTTGGTTTCAGTTTTCTGGATTTGGCTCTTTTAGATGAAAGGAAACTGTCCTGGTGAAGCATGTGACAGCAGCCCACATAAGCTCACTACAGTGGAGTTTTGTCCCATGCCTCGCTCCCGAGCTATCTGGCTCATTGACAGGGTGTCTAGCACCTTGGAAAAGCTGGAATTGTCAGGAAATTTCGGATCATCTGGAAAAGTCAGGGTCAGGGAGATAATCAAAAAGTTAGCCAAATCAGGGAAAATGGCCAGGGCGAATAATGCGGTGGTGTTGGTCGAAGCCAGGAGAGTCGTGCATTGACGTGGCTGTGCTAAATAACATTGCCCGAAACTTTGTAAGTCTTTGACTTCTTGAGCAACATAAAGACCGATTTCAATAAATTGTTTTAAAGTGTGAGTGGTGTTCATTTATGAGGTGTTTAGTAGCAGTTCGTACCACATCTCCAAACTTCTGTAATGGACAGGGAATTTAAAACCTGGAAAAGCTGGGGAACTTAAAAGGAGGAATTTGCTAGACACCCTGGCTGATTTCATAGTTACCGATGTCTGCCAAGTTATGCTGAAGTAGGGCATGAAATCGTCGATATTTCACTGTGGTAGCTGACGTTGTGTTGTAATTATATACTTTTGAAACAGGAGCTGTGCGCACCTGCTTTAAACAGAAGGCAGAAAACAATGAGCCAGCCATCATCGTGCAGGAAGCCGACGCCAAATGGGCTGCTGCTGAATCAGTCGGGCATGCACCAGCTAGGACCAAGAAAATGGTAATATGATATTTCTAATTTTGCTTAAACTCCCGAAAAATACTTTTGCATCCTAAAACAAGCCCAGATTTCAAACAAAGGCATTAGTCTGCTTTACATAAAGACATTTTTAAGTATTAAGAAATTTATTTAGCCAATGAAAGAACACCATGTTATGACATTGTCTGCAATGAGCTTGACATTGTAGAAAATATGAGGCTCATTGACATTGCCCCTGGGTCCGGACAGTTCATCAAATACCGTTTCATTGAACATGGTTTCATCGAAGCTGTTTCATTGAACGCAGTTTTATCGAACGCTGTTTCATTGAACGCCATTTCATCGAAGTTGTTTCATCGAACGTAGCCTATTTGAGCAGTAGAAATATTTTTCTTTTTAGTGCCGGGAGGATAGCAGTGTTTTAATATTTATTGTAACTTGTAAACTTATATATATATATAAAAGAAAGGAACCTTTTTTTGTCACCTTCTATTCTTTTTTTAGTAAATGATGACTTCTGTTAATGACGTCAATAAGACATGGTAATACTAACGACACTTTTAAAAGCTGTGATCATCAGGTGCAGTGATGAATGCACGTCCATTCAGAAGCGTATATATATCTTCGTCCTTGAAGAGACCTATTCTGCTTCAAGACGAAGCCGTCCTTGAGGCAGTGATCTGTCTCCGTGGCCCATGATACGGGGAAAAGAAAAGACGTGTCTCCTCTCTTTGTTAATTTATTATAACCGACAGAACCGTGGACCTGCCGGATATTCGACATACAGTAATATACTGCATGTCAAAGATCCGACAGGTCCACGGTTCTGTCGGTTGCAAAAAATTGACGAAGAGGTCAGGCACGTCTTTTTTAAGAACATCTATGTTCTTAAAAAGAAAGCTATTCTCTTAGGATAAAATGAAAACAAAGTTTAATCTATAAATACAAAATAAAAAAGGCGCTGCGGAAAATAGCTGTTTCCCTCTTAAGAAAGTGCCTTTCACGCATGAATAAATAGAAGGTTGAAGTGGGAAAAAGTGAGTGGCCGAGAACAGCCGCCTACCTTGCCAGAAAAGAATAAGTCGCGTATCCACTGTCTTCTGTGGGTAGGTCACACTTTGCGGTAAAAGTCTAAACTGGATGAAAAGAATGGCTTGTGCATGCAAAGAAACTGTGGTGAAACTGCTAGGACAGATGTAGGCATTTCTTTTTTTATCTTGATGGCACTCTCTGCCCTGAAATAGGCACCCATTTTCTGAATGCAACCAACTTTTTTGTTATTTTTTTGCAGGAGCAGTGTGCCTCTTCTCAGGAGTGACTGAGGGGCTGCCACAAGGGGAGAAGGCAAGCATGTTTCTGATTACAAGGATGGACAGTTGGGCTGGGCTAGTTGGTAAGAATTCATGTTGAAAAACGGTGCGAAAACCAGACAAAGGAAAAAGAACACACAGTGTCTTGTCCTGTGTGTTTTCTTATCCGTTCATTTTGCGCTGTCAGCATGTTTCTGCTTTGATTTTTCTGTTAGTTTTAAATGTTAGAAGTTGGTTACTTTGATCCCAGTTGGAAGCATGGAATTGGTTAACCGTGCTAAATGCATAGAATTGAAAAATAAAATTCATGCTACCTAAATCTTTTAAAATGCTTTTTTTTCTAATGATTTCTTTCTCTTTTTTTACAGCCATCCCATGAGTAGAGTCCCTGTTATTTGACTTTTTTGTGTCAATTTGTAATATGCATACGTTACCTTTAATTTCTATTCATGCATACATTTTAGCCCCAGCTAGTGGTTTCTTTTATTTAATTTATGTACACATTAGTGTGGTATTTTTAGAAGATTTAAAATTTAGGTTCTTTTTCTAGTCATTTTTGGTTTATTGCCTCTGTTATTTATTTATATGTCCTAGCCCAAGATCGGGTGTAATTTGAGATATATTTAGAATTTTATTTTAAGCTACTTGCTTTATGTTGCTGGGAGTTTTAATATTTTACATTTTTATTTTTATGCAGATCACCCTTGTAATTTAGTCTATTCTTTACAATTTTGTAGATCTAATAGCTTGTAAGAAACAGAAGAATTCTCTGGTACTTGTAATGTTGGTTTCTTTTTTGAAATAAATTTATTCCAATAACTTCTTGTTTTCTTCCGGAGTCCTGCTTCTAGGATTTCAAAATGCTGATTCATTAATGGCCTGTAATGCACATCTATTTACTCATATCAGGCACCAGCTCAAAAAATGACTTCATGACAACCATAAATCCAGCTTCCTGGCAGCGCTTGTCAATGTATTTTCGGATAACATTGTTCAGTAATGTCCAAGTAACACATGCAGTAATATCTGGCCAGTGCCACATATTGTAAAAATGTTTACTGAAAGGTAACAGAATAAAAGCACTGAGGAAGAACAGATGACCGCTCTTTCATTTAGTTACGACGCTCGTTTCTTGGAAGCAAAGACTCGCGCACAGGTCAAGATTAACTGCAAAAGGAAGGCTTGATCAAAGGAACTTTAGGGAGATAAGGATGAGTCAGTAACACTCCGCCTTCAGTATCTAGTTGATCTCGACCTGTGTGCAACTCTTTGCTCCTCAAAAAATAAACGTTGTTGCGAAATGAAAGAGTGGTCGTTTGTGTATGTTCTTCACATTTTTATTCCCTCACTCTTAAGTAAGCCGTACTGTCAGTGCAACATTTTGGTGTAACATTACTGGATGGTAGAATTCGTGGCCATTAACAACAACTAGCAACGTTAGCGACGACGTCCGAGTAACATCACTGATCTAGCATCCAGGTAACATAGAGAGCTATGTTACTGAAACATTTTGATGTGACGTTACTGGAAGGTAGAACTGGTGGCCATTAGAAACGTTTGGCAACGTTATCTAACAACGTTCCAGTAACATTATTTGGGTAATGTCCAGGTAACGTATGCAGTTACGTTACTGTAACATTGTGGTGTAACGTTACTGGAGTGTAGAATTCGCGGTCGTTAGCAGCGTTCGGCAACGTTACCTGACAACATTCCCGTAACGTTGTAGCTACATTTTGTGCTACTTGGGTATCTTGCCCGAGCTTTCATTTGTTTAAATGCGAGGAGATTACTCTGCGTGGGGCAACGTCGAAAAATACCCCACGCTCTGTTTTGTTTTTTTCTCGATTCAGTGCACTCTTCATTCCACCATGGCTTGGGTCTCCGAGGGAGATGCGTAGAAGTCATAGGAATAGCAAGAGATGCTGCATAAAGAATAGACTCACTTAACAGTTCTGTAACTTGGTCCACCGAGATTTTATCAAATGATGTACAGGCAAGCTGCATTGACTTGGTAAAAACAGACCAATCTGCTTTCTCGAACTTCCAACGGGCAGTCCGCATCGGCACGGACTTGGGGGAAAAGTTGTTTTTCAAGAAAATTGGAGAGAGAGATTTTGGGGGTTAATGGCGCAAAAGCTACGAGGCCATCTGCGCCAAACTAATTGTAAAGACCATTGTATTAAAGGAGAAGTTTTACAAAAGATTGACCAAAAGGCTAGAGTCGGTGTAAAAGGCCAATACTGCTAAGAAATTCCATTACCCGTTCAAAAGAGACTAGAGGATTCTCTCCCACAAGGAGAGCAGGATGAAATGGGATATGATATTGGAAAAATTCAGGGAAATGAATGTGGCGCTTGGACTGAAGGCCGGGACACTGCCACAAGATATGCAAAACAGTGAGCCTGTCACCACACTGATCACACACAGGTGGATCTTTTCCCGAAAGCAGATACCTATGAGTTATAAATGAGTGTCCAATTCTCAGGCGGCACAACAACGTTTCATGAAGTCGGCTCTTGCATGAAGAACTTTCCCAGACTCCCAATGTAGGTTTGGTAACATGAAGCTTGTTATCGCACTCCATGTCCCATTCCAATTGCCAAGAATGAAGAATTGAGGACTTCACCAAGGGTTTAATATCTTGATAGGGTAGACAGGAGAGCGATTGTGGAAGGTTCCCGGCAGACCCTGCAAGTTTGTCGGCTTCTTCATTGCCATCAATGCCAGTATGACTGGGCACCCAACAAAATTTTATGTTTTGACCCCCATGCAAAGCAGAGTTAAGTTTATATCGAATTTGTTGTACAAGCATATTTTTAGTATCTTTAAGAGAGCAAACTGCAAGAATCACACTTTGAGAGTCAACAAACAGGACTGCCCTCAGTATTTTACTATTGATAATATATTCAATCGCCATTGATACCGCATAGAGCTCCGCAGTAAAAATGCTGGCGATACAATCAAGTCGTTGAACCTTGGAGAAGCTTTCAGAGTATACGGCGCAACCGACGAAAGATGAAGTCTTGGCACCATCTGTATAAACATGAAGATAACCATCATACTTATTTTGCAGTTCTCCAAACTCTTGCTTAATTACAGCATGGGAAATGCCATGCTTGTTGAACTTTGCGAGAGACCAGTCGGATTCAACTCGCTGTGTTTTCCAAGGTGGAATACCGTTCACTTTCCGAACAAGGCTGACCTGGTCCAGAGAAAGATGCAGCGAGGAGCGAAGATGTTCAATGCGGAAGCTCAACGGTCTTACAATGCTTGATTTATTTTCAAAAAGGCGATAGAACCTTGACCTTGTGAGGGAAGAGTAAGTCGGATGCTGAGGATCGGCCAGAATCTTGTAAGCATATGTTAGACTAAGATATGTACGTCGTTTGTTCAGGGACAGCTCATTGGATTCTGCATACAAACTAAGGACGGGGGATGTCCGGAAAGCTCCTGTTGCCAGTCGCAAGCCAAGATGATGAACCGAGTCCAACATCCCAGCTAAAAATTATCATTTGATCCAATTAGAATTCTAACTGGTTTTAATTGGAACCAATTGGATTTAATGGGTTCCAATTGGAAGCACTCTGGCCAATGGGTCTCACCAGTTGGAAAAAATTTTCCAGTTGGAAACTTAATGGGTTTCAAATGGTTCCCGTTGGTTTCCATTGGTTCCCATTACAGTGACCAATTGGTTGTCCGAAAACCTAACTGGTACCAATTGGAAATTCCAATTGGAATCTAATGAGAATTTTCGACTGGGATCTTAAGGGCAGAGAGCCGAGCCGATCCATACACTACTGCACCATAGTCAAGACGGGATCGTACAAGGGCATTGTATAGCTGTAGGATACATTTTCTATCAGACCCCCAAGACTTGTGAGATAAAACTTTCAGAAGGTTTGTTGACTGAAGGCATTTTTGCTTGAGCGCTTTAAGGTGGGAAATAAAATTAAGCTTTCTATCAAATATTACACCAAGAAATTTGTGCTCCTTCTTAACAGGTATAGGAGTTCCATTCAATTCCAGGGATGGATCCAAAGACAGCCCGCGTCGCAGAGAAAAAGGGACACAGACTGTTTTTGAAGCAGAGAACTTGAACCCATTTTCGTCGGCCCACTTGGACAGTTTGTTTATGGCTAACTGCAACTGGCGCTCACAACTAGAAAGGTTACAAGACGATGATGAAATCTGTATATCATCAGCATAAAGAGAATATGATATAGAGGGTGGCAGCAGTTGTGCGAGTGAATTCATTGTTAGCAAAAACAAAGTCACACTTAAAACACCCCCTTGGGGGACTCCATTTTCTTGAACAAAGGAATCAGATAGGGCTGAGCCGAGACGAACTTGGAAAGTCCTGTCTGTCAGATATTCCTTTATGCTTCGCAGCATACGGCCACGAATATTACAGGCATACAGGTTTCGGAGAATCCCATACCTCCATGCTGTGTCATATGCCCTTTCTAAGTCGAAAAAAACTGCAACACAGTGCTGCCTGTTTACAAATGCTTCACGTATCACAGTTTCTAGGCGAACTAAGTGGTCAAGGGTAGATCGACCTAGGCGGAATCCACATTGATTTTTATCAAAGACCCTCTGGCTTTCTAACATGTAGACCAGTCGCCTGTTTATAAGCCTTTCATATGTTTTCCCAAGGCAGCTTGTCAGTGTAATTGGGCGGTAGCTTGATGGTTGTGAGGGGTCTTTGTTAGGCTTTAGGAGGGGGATGATGTGTGCATGTTTCCAAGCCTGAGGGAAACATGCCTTTTCCCACAAAAGATTAAAAAACAGGAGAAGATTTTCAAGGAACTCCGGAGAAAGGCGGTGCAGCATTTCATAATGAATTCCATCAGGACCAGGGGCCGAGAGCTTTGTCACATTAAGAGCCATCTCAAGCTCGCATCTCGTAAATGGTTGGTTATAGGATGCTGAATTTTCTCATGATATGAGAAGCTTTTGTCGTTCTGCACGAGCTTTTAACTGTCTGAAGGTAACACTGTAGTTGGCCGAACTAGACGAATTATAAAAATGTTCCCCGAGTATGTTACCAATATCTTTTAGTGATGAAGAAGGAGCATTAAATGTTGGAATGGCAAAGCACCTGTAATCCCCATTTACTTTCCGGTATCGGTCCCAGGCCTCTTTAGCTGGGACAAAGCTGGTTAAAGAAGAGAGATACTTCATCCATGACTTCCGCTTTGCCTGCTTCCTAGTCCAACGAGCCTTGGCTTTTCGTCGCTTGAATTCAACAAGGTTGCTTGGAGTGGGGTATCTACGAAATCGGCCCCATGCCCTATTTTGGTCCGCCCGGGTTGTCGCACACTCCTTATTCCACCAATGTTTACATTTCTTGGGTATATTACCAGATGTTTGTGGAATGGACTGCTGAGCAGCCTTTAGTATCTGCTCAGTAACATAAAGTGTAGCGTTCTCAGGGGACATAGACGAAAGAAGCGAAGGATCTAAAGTGGAGTGAAGATTAAAAAGCGCCCAGTCTGCCTTGTCTAATTTCCACCTAGGGACCCTTTTTAAAAGATTAGGCAATGGAACGGTACTCTCTAAAACAACTGGATAGTGATCACTCCCAAAAGGGTTATGAAGAACCTTCCAGGAAAAGCAAGGAAGCAATGAAGGTGAAGCAATAGAAAGATCGATGGATGTAAATGAGTTGTGTGACGCACTAAAAAACGTTGGCTCTCTCCCATTAAGAAGGCATAACCCCGAAGACAATAAAAGACGTTCAATCACACCACCACGGGAGTCTTGATGGGTACTACCCCACATAGGATGATGAGCGTTAAAATCCCCCAAAATTAAAAACGGTTGTGGGAGCTGTCCTATAAGTCCCTGAAGCTCTTGAAGGTTTAAAGGAGCATTAGGTGGCAAGTATAAGGAAACAATTGTTACAAGGCGGTCTAGAAGGAGACATACTGCAACAGCTTCCAGGGGCGTGCAGAGGGGGACTTGAGAACAAGCAACTCCCCTCTGTACGACCACTGCAACACCACCAGAAGGGGTGGAAGAGGGGCGATCTTTTCTAAAAACCTGATGACGTCTTAAAATATTAAAAGAATTTGTGTTAAGATGGGTTTCTTGCAAGGCGAGAGCGATGGGTCGAAGCTGATCCATAAAATAGTTGACATCATCAATATTTCTTAAAATACCGCGACAGTTCCATTGCATAAAATGTAACTTAGTCATCTATAAAAGGTATGTAAATATAAAAGTTAAAAATAAACTTAGTAAAATAATTAAGACCGTAAGGTCAACATAAACTAGGTGGAAGACATTGGGATCATCATTTGGGTGGGACAACAGGCTTCTTATTCTTTTTATGTTTACTGGAGGGCGTTTCCCACTCCATATTGTCCTGGTCGGACCCAGGAGTGGACAGATTGTCAGCATCTGTTGACATCTCCACCTCCTGAGAGGTGTCCGTTGTTTTTAGAACAGCACTTGTCCGGCCAGGTGTGCGGGGGGGCAAACCCCGACCACGACCGGCTGGGGGGGTTGCAGACGAACTGGGCGACGGGTCGTCTGAGCTCGTCTGGTCCCCTCCTTTCACAGAAGCTGCATGGGCACCATGCTGCTCCTTCGGTAGGGGGGCCCTCTCTAGCGAGCAAGAGCGAGAAACTCGCTCCGTCTCCCCAGGGGGCGACCTAGGAGAGGGGGCAGGCGTGGCTGCTGCCGGCCTGTCCCTGGAAGGAGGAGCAGCACGCTTGCTACCACCAGGGGCTGGAGGAAGCAGCCGCTGCTCCTGTCGGGGAGCTGGGGCCCTGCAGTCGGCCGCCAAGATCTCGGGAGAGACCTGGGTGGCCCTTGACTCCGAGCGTGGTGCAGGGCCCCTGCGCACCACCTCGGCAGAACTCCCCTTTGACAAAAAGGACAACCGCTTCTTGGCTTCTGGGTATGATATGTTTTCTTTAACTTTGATGGTAAGAATTTCCTTTTCTAGCTTCCAAGAGGGACATGCACGATAATAAGCAGGATGTGGTCCACCGCAGTTAGCGCAGAGGGCCGCAGCCGCCTCGCAAGTATCGGAAACGTGACCTTGACTACCGCACTTCGCACACGTCTCCTTCCCTCGACAGCTGCGTGTTCCATGACCAAAACGCTGGCAACGGAAGCACCGCTGGGGGTTGGGGACGTACGGGCGAATGCGGCAGTTCAAGTATCCTGCCTTGACTGTCTCGGGGAGGGTATGTCTTTCAAACGTCAGGATAACATGTCTCGAAGGAATTTGTTCGCCATCTTTCCTAAACATAATGCGTTTCACGGCGACGACACCGGCACCCTGGAGTCCCTCGAGGAGTTCTTCCTCACTTGTGTGCAAGAAGTCGTCCTCAGAGAGGACTCCACGGACAGTATTTAGTGTGCGATGAGGACTCACCGACACCTTCACGTCAACGATGGTAGTCAGTTTAAGAAGTGCGTCACTTTGTTTTTTTGTATTCACTTCCACGAGAAGGTCTCCAGTGTGCTGTTTTTTAGCCTTGTAGGAAAACCCTACAAGGTTTTCTAGCACCTTTGCTACAATAAAAGGTGACAGCTTGGAAACAGGTCTTTGTTCATCCAGCGAATGAACGATGAAAAACTTATTGAACGGTTCTGCTTCATATTCTTTGTCGATGGTTTTTTGTTCGGGGCAGCGCCTTTTAAGGGCGTGCCCTGAACGGGGTTTGGAGGGGTGGGGCGCCATAAAAGGGCAAAGAGTGTTCGGAATCCGCGGTGCACCACCCACCACCGAGCCCAACAAGGGGTTAGGTAACGCACCATAACAAGAAGGGCTTGGCTGGAGACGTTACGCTAACAGTGCTGCCGGGAAACTATACCCAAGTGTGGGTCAAGACAGAGGTCTATTGCCACCCAAGGTTAGCCCTTGCCGCCAAAGAGGGGTGAAAAAGGAGCAAAAGAAATGAGAAGGAAGTGAAAGAAACAGGAAAGGTAAAAGCGAAAGATCGGAGGGGATAGTAGAAGAAAAGGCGACTAGACTGAATCATCCTGGCCGGGCCTTACCAGGACTCCCGTCTATGAGAAGCGGGGGCCGAAGTGGTGTATTGCCTCGCCCGGGGGGCCCCGAAGGGTCCAACCCTGCCCCGGGCTCAGCTCAACCACCAGGATGCCCTTTTCCCCAGACACGGGAAAGCCACGCACAGTCAGACGTGGGCGGGCGAACCCGCATGGCTCGGGGTCCGTGGAGACGCCACTCTCCAAACACCTGCTTTCACAGGTGCCCCCTGCGGGCAAGAAAATTGGAAAGTGATCGCTTCCATGTGGGTTAGTATCTGCGACCCACGTAAAAGAAGTAAAAATGGAAGCGCTACCGATGGAAAGATCAATACACGAGGATGATAATGAGGATGGGCTAAAATAAGTTGGTTCTCCCGTGTTAAAAAGGCAAAGTGAGACATTAAAATTGATTCTATCATTCGACCACGGGCGTCAACGTGGTCGCTACCCCATAGAGAGTTGTGGGCATTAAAATCTCCAAGTAAAAGAAAGGGCTCCGGAAGTTGGTGTAAAAGATTATTAAAATCATTTGTCGAAAATGTAAAAGGAGGAATGTACAAAGAACAAACAGCACTACTTTGTGAAGGAGGAGACGCACCGGCGGCACCGCTACTGCCTCTAGTGCAGTATTAAGAGCGATTTCGGAACAGGGAAGGTGCCTTGGGACAACCACTGCAACTCCTCCTGCAGAAATACACGCATCCTCTCGGTCTTTCCTAAAAATATGGTAGCGTCTAAGAAAGTTAGTATGCTTTGAACTGAGATGCGTTTCTTGTAAACATAAAGCATGTGGGCGGTGCTGCTCCAGGAGGAACTCAATATCATCAAAATTCCTCAGTAGACCTCGGCAATTCCACTGAATGATCGCCGTCATTCTTTATAAAAATTTAACTATCAGAGGAGCGATGGAAAAAGGGGTGATGTATGTGATGCTTCATTTAGGAGGGAAAACTGGTGTTTTCCCTTTATGTTTTGGTTTCTGGGTCTGCCACTCCATATCCTCTGAATCTGGTTCTGGGGCAGAAAGGTCGCCTGCCTCTGCAGTCTTTTCTGCTTCTAGGGACTTCCTGGCAGGCCTACTGGAGGCCTTAGAGTTGTCTAGGGATCGTAGGGGCAACCCACGGCCCCTGCATTGACCTGATGGGCCAGCGGTCGACGTGCTAGGTCGGCCCGTTGTCCCGCCGGTATCGTCTGTTGCACGTGGCACGTGCTGCCTCCTAGACGGGGAAGTTCTCCCCAGGGAGGAGGAGCGAGACACTCGCTCCGTTGCCTGAGGGGAGGGACCAGGAGGCGGGGACGAAGGTGTAACCTCCGTCGCTGCTGCGGCACCTATGTCCTTGGTGCGACTATGTGGATCTGCTGCTTTCCCAGCTGAGATAGAATGCCCAGGAAGTGCAAGCTTCAGCCTGGGCGTAGAGGACTGCAGTGGCTTCCCGTGGTCTGAAAAAGACACCTAAGTCGCCACCGATACCTTAGACGGTGCAGGTCCTCTGCTGGACACCGCCTCGGCAAAAGATCCTCTCTGGAAAGCAGAGAGGCGGCGCTTTGCATCCTGGTAGGAAATGTTTTCTTTCACCTTGAGAGCAAGTATTTCTTTTTCCTTTTTAAAGTGGTTACATGATCGAGAGTAGGCAGGATGGTCGGCGTTGCAGTTTGCACATTTATAGTCGAGGTTGCAGTCGTCAGCAGTATGGTCAGAGCCGCTGCACCTGGCACAAGTTTCACGACCACGGCAAGCTCGTGAACCGTGACCGTACCGCTGGCAGCGAAAGCAGCGAAGCGGGTTCGGGACATATGGCCGCACTTTGCAGTTAATGTAACCCGCCTTTACGGCAAAGGGCAACGAGTTTTTCTCGAATGTCAGTATGACATGTTTCGTAGGTCGTTCCTCGCCGTCCTTACGGATTTTAATTCGTTTTGCGGCCACAACACCTTGAGTGCTTAGACCCTCCACGATTTCCTCTTCGGAACTGGTTATGAGATCATCCTCCGATATCACACCGCGAATGGTGTTGAGCGTACGGTGTGCAGATACGGTCACTTTGAGATCATGAATCATATTCAGATTGAGGAGGGCAGTTGCCTGATACCTTTCATAAATCTTGACAAGAAGATCACCGGAAAAAAGCTTTTTCGCTTCATATTTTGCCCCGAGTGTGTTTTGAAGAACTTTAGCAACAAGGAATGGAGACAGTCTTGAGAGTGGCATAGAAGAGTCATCGGAATGTAGAACGAAAAATCTTGTTGATGATGATTGGGGTTTTTTGGCGCAAGAGCAGCTTAGGCCATATTGCGCCAAACAAAGGTTTTTCCAAGAGGCTTAAAAGTATAATCTATAAGAACTGGAAGCTACAGCTGGTGTAAAAAGCCAGTTTTATGAAGGAAATTTAAAACTCGATTGAATGGTACCAATGGTTGATCGCCGAGCAGAAAATATGGGTGAAAGGGAAGGTGACCTTGAAAAAGTTCTGGAAAACATGATCGCCGCTCTTGGTTTAAAGATTTGCAATGCCACAGGATGTGCAAAACAGTCATAGGTTTCCCACAGTTGTCGCAGAGTTTAACGTCCTCACCACAGAGCAGATGCAAATGAGTCAAACGGGTATGACCGATTCGTAAGCGGCAAAGGAGAACTTCAACCTGACGGTCTTTATGGGAGGAACTCTCCCACACTCCCAGTTGGGGCTTGATAACATGAAGCTTGTTCTCTTTTTCCATATCCCAATCCAACTGCCATGACTTCATAATTGATTTCTGGATGATTGGTTTCAGGTCTTGGTGTGGCAAGCCAAGAGGCAGTTTTGGGGACTCTTTTGCAGAGCCAGCAAGCAAGTCTGCTTTCTTATTGCCGGAAATACCTACGTGGCTAGGAACCCAACAGAATTTGATCAAGTGTCCTAGCTGAAGTGCTCGGTTTAACTGTACCCGAAGATATTGTACGAGAAGGTTCTTACTGTCTGTTAAGGACGAAATAGCTAGAAGAACGCTCTGGGAGTCGACAAACAGAATTGCTTTCATGATATTGTTCTCCAGTAAGTACTCAACAGCCATTGAAATGGCATACAATTCAGCAGTTAAAATATTTGCAAGAGTATGGAGTTGTCTAACTTTTTTGAAGGCAGTGGAGTAAACCGCACACCCCACGAAAGTTGATGTTTTTGATCCATCAGTGCGAAAAATCTTGTGAAGTGATCATTTGAGTTGTCTTGTTTCAGAAATGTGGATAGTGCTTCGGTCCCGCTTCTTTTCGGAGGCCGATCAGGTTGTTTTTGCTTAGAACCCATAAGAGGGGAATGGTTTTCGGAAACTGTGGTGCACCGCCCACCACCGAGCCCAACAAGGGAATAGGTAGCGCTTCATAACAAGAATGGCTTGGCTGAAGACGTTACTCTATTAGTGCTGCCCAGTTTCTATAACCGAGTGTGGTTCTGGACAAGGGTCTGTCGCCACCCAAGGTTAGCCCTTGCCGCCAAAGGAGTTGAAGAAGAAAGAAGAGAAATGAGAAGAGTGAAAAGAAGGAGAAGACAAAGGTAAAGGATCGGAGGGGATAGTAGAAGAAAAAGCGACTAGACTGTATCATCCTGGTCGGGCCAAGCCAGGACTCCCGTCTACGAGAAGCAGGGGCCGAAGTGGTGTATTGCCTCACCCGGGGGGCCCCGAAGGGTCCAAACCTACCCCGGGCTCGGCTCAACCACCAGGATGCCCTTTTCCCCGGACACGGGAAAGCCACGCACAGCCATACGTGGGCGGGCGAACCCGCATGGCTCGGGGTCCGTGGAGACGCCACTCTCCAAACACCTGCTTTCACAGGTGCCCCCTGCGGGGGATCATTCAACCTGGTTGGTAGTAAACCACTGTGGTGGCCGCTAGGTGCAGGTGTTGCTAGTTGAGCAATCAAGCTTAGTTGGTACAACTTCCTGCAATCTCTCAGTCCTGTGTTAGTGAGCATTTTTTTAGGCGGATCCTGTATTTCCTAACAGCAAATATTTCAGTACTCAAGGCTGTTGACTTTTCTATTTAGATAGCCAAGAAGCAAGCACGAGCACAAGTGGGCAACCAGAATTGGGTGATATGTTGGCCCACTCTTCGGGCAATCCGAAGTCACGCCAAGAAAGTGAGTAGCAATCCTAAATGCTGCTAGATGCAGACCACACCATGCAGCAATACAAACATAACACTTACTGTAGAACCAGAATAGACGTGTAGCAGCATTTGATTAAAACGAGTGTTCAAGTCCATAAAAAAAAATCTCCACTGTCAAAAGGAACAGAGTAGAAATTTGTGCTGCTTATAACTATTAAGGTGCAAGTTCTCTCATTAGCAACTTGTGATGATCATTTGTGAATGCTTCCTGTAGTTAGATATGGCCCACATAGTTAATGCAATAAATGCAGGGGTGCACGCAAGCTGGATAATAAGAAACAATAAATATTTCCTGAAGGGGACAAAGGACAAACACAAATCTCCAACAGCAGCTATGTGATTGGTGCGTGGCGCTGGTTTCATAGCTATATAATGGAAATGTGACAATGAAGTGGTGTGACCGCTTTGAACCGTGCAAACATTTTTTTCGTCGTCTGCAGGGATCAAGGAAGACCCCACATGAAAGATCATTGAGGGACAACAGGCTATCACAGCCCGCTTGGATAGGCTTGTGGAACTGCACGAACAGATGGTGGCTCTAAAAGCTTACAAACTTAATGTATGTTTTCAGAACGGAGAAATTGTTTCAAAATATTATGAATAAAAAGGCACTTGTATAGACTTTGGAAATTGGAAACAGCGCGCAAAAAGACGAAGACAACAAGAGAAGAGCACAGGACAAGCGCTGTCCTGTGCCATACGATACCGCCCACTCTAAACTTGTGAAACGAAACATTGCCACGTCATGCCTCCAAGCTTCACTGTACAGGTCCTTTCACCATGCCATGCTTGACAGCCATGAAGCTCAGGTCAAGCGACTTTTAGAAGCAGGATTTCCTCTGTCCGCTTTGCTTGGTGTCTCTCAGACTCCTGAAAAAAGTCAAGAGCGGTTCTCAGGAACCAAAAGTTCAGCCTAAACAAAGGCCTCAGGTTATCCCATATATACATAAGGTTTCACATAATTTAAAAAAAGTGGCTAACCGGTTCAATGTGCCAATGCTTTTTTCGGCGCCTCGAAAATTAGCACAACTTTGCCTGCGCGTAAACTAGGCAAGCAGTAACAAGATGTCATGTACGTTTAAGGGGGCACACCCCCTAGGGGGGTCAACTTTTGAACCCTTGTCTTAAAATTAATGAAATTTACAGGGTAGGCTGGTGGTCATGCTAGAGGGTGTATAACAAAATTTCACGTCTCTCAGGTAGATGAGAAGGAAATTAGAGTAGCTTTTACCAGCAACACGCCTACATTGTTTAGTTAATCTATCGTCAGAAAACTATTGCGATATTAAAGATTTTTATTTGCTAGATATGTAGCAGAATGCCTAGAGGGTGCGGCTATGGAAAATGTTTTCTAAAAAGTAATTCATTTCTATAAATTTTCTCTTCTGCAAAATTGGTCAACTTTTTGGTCTTCTGTGCCTTCGACAAAATTTTTACAAAAGACATCCGTAAAGTGACAAAAAAGTTCCATAGCCGCACTCCTTATTAAATTTCAGTCAGGAAAAGGGAAGAATGAGCTTTCCGTGTATTGCCATTATCAAATGATAGATTGACTAAAATGGAATTTATACCAAAAAGTGGAACGGAGAAAAATGTGTTCAAAGTGCTCCAAACCCTACCTTTTCTATAGCTTTGGTGGACAGAAAATAATTTATAAAAAATTAACTATACAGTGAAAAGTAATGAAACTTTTTTGGAATACTCTCTAGATGTTGGTGGATGTAAAGATGTCATTTTTCAAAATCAACTTTTTTTGCAGAAATTTTTTTTTCTGGGCAGTGTCTCCCCTTAAGCATGTCAACAAGTTTGTGGAATGCGTTGTGGGTGTCATCTACAAAATTCCATTGTCATGCGGACGAGTTTATATAGGACAATCGGGACGCTGCGTCAATGAGAATGCGTGAGCATGCCCTTTCCCTGCGGTCAATGACAGGAGGTCACTTATACGTACACTGCAGAGACTGCCAGTGTCACCCCGTCTTCCAAGATACCTTAATCATTGGCAGGGGGCACACAAAAGTGCAAAGAGAGGTGCTGGAGGCACATTCTATCGAAAAAGCTGGCTCGGGCCACTGCGTAAGCCGGCCTTCGGCTTATCTGCACAAAAAGAGACCGATTTTATAGATGCATGGTAAGCGACACGCCACTGGTGGTTTCGGCGTCGGTTGGCTGTGTGGTGTTTTCTTGTTTGAGCCGTTTTTAATAAAACTTCAGTTGATAGTCAGCGCTTGTTCTGTGCTCTTCTCTCGCTGTCTTCGTCTTTTTGCGCGCCGTTTCCAATTTCATGAACCAACTCGCTTGCATCGCCACCTTAATACGTGTATAGAACAGCAATACCTTGTTTCTTTATTACACAAACTTTCTGGTGTCACCACTGATCTCTACGATGATTTTCTGGATCGCTTCTTCCTCCTTGTAGCGCAGGTGAACCCACCGGAAGTTCTCAATCGGCCGTCATATGCCATGCAAAAGTCAGCCGGGTGAAGTTCCGTAAAGACTAGTGCGTACATCCATGGAAAACCCCATTTTGAGCTTCATCAGAGTCATAATTGAAAAGTTTCCAAGAATTGCCAATAAATTATAGGCTTCACAAACGCGATTTCTCGCTGCGCCTCCACAACTGCGCGCACGGCCCGGCGGCAGCCCTTGCAGCCATACGCCATCCCGCCCATCTGCCAAGTTGTACGTCGTTGGCGATTTACCGTATCTTTGGCAGATTAAAGGCATTGCGACAGGTAAACTTATTTGAATATGTTATTCGTCGTAATTTACCTTCACGTATTGCAGTGTCACCGAATCCACTTATTTTGCACCGCAACCGTGGCAGGTTTCGACCCGGTTCGACAAAGCGTTGGTGCAGCAGACGACAGAGCCGGCACAAAGGAGAGGGATAAGAAAGGGGCAGCTGTTGGCTCGTCGCTCGCCTGACTCAACTGCTCAAAAGTCGTTGTTGCGGTGACCTGCGCCTGCTCGCGTGTGCCACGTGGCCACGTGGTAGCGGGAGGAGGGGCATACCAAAGACTCCCATTATTTGTCGCGCGCGCGGGCTTTTGGGATTTTTGAAAAGGGTCTTTTGAGAACTTCCAGTGGCTTCACCCGCGAAGTGGTGATGCGTGATCTGTTACGTCTTAGCTGCCATCCGCCGTTCGGCCAGGCGCGAAGCGAGTATGACACGCTCCGGTGGTGGTGGTAGCCAGTATGGGAAACGCCCCCTTTATTGCTTCGAACACAGATATATACAGAACGCCACGACTGGTGACGTCAACAGGGAAACTTCTATCGGCTTGATAACAGCGAATAGAAGGATGTAAGCAATGACAACGCAACATTTCTTCTTCTCTTAATATTGCAAACGATCGATCGGTTTCCGTGTCCGCGTTGAGCGTCGTAAGGCTGGTTGGTCTTGACCGTCGGGGGCTGGCACGTCTTGCTCGCTCGGTGGCCCCTGGCTGTCCTAGTGTCACTGGCGGCCCGACGTTGTCCGAACCGTCTTTAGTGCCACCCAGACTTTCAGTCGGACCTTGTCTGCCGCGGACCTGGTCCATGTGTCGACGGACTGTTCCCTCCGGAGTCTCGATGACCAGCATCCTTGACCCGAGCTTGTTCTGGACGGTCCCCGGTGACCATCTTTCACCTTGGCCGAAGTTGTGGACCCACACCAGTGCTCCAAGGTCCCAGGAGTCTCCTTGAACCTGCACATCGTCGGACAATAACGCAGGCCGGAACGGTACACTCATGTCCAGGCGCGAACGAACGCGGTACCCGAGAAGTATTTCCCCTGGGGATTCGCCACACGCTAAAGGCGTCGGACGATAATTTATCAGAAGCTGCGCCAGCCTTTTTCCCAAATCTCCCCCAGTTAACTTAGCGAGGCCGAACTTGATCGTCCTGACTGCCCGTTCAGCCAACCCGTTAGACTGAGGATGATAGGGTGCACAGCGGAGGTGACACACATTGTTTCTTTTCACAAAGTCTTCAAAATGCTGACTAATGAACTCAGGTCCACTATCAGAAACAATTGTTCTGGGTAGACCGAACTTGCTGAACAGTTCTCGGAGTTGATTTACAGTCGCCTCTACCGTTGTTGATCGCATGATGCAAGCTTCAATCCATTTGGAACGGGAATCAACGACTATCAGCAACATCCTTCCCTCAACTGGTCCTGCAAAATCGATGTGCACTCTCGACCATCTTTCTTTTATGGCCAATTCACCGGTGAGCACGCGGACGGCATTGGGGCGGCTTGGTGTGCCGCCCACCACGGAGCCCAACAAGGGAATAGATAACGCACCATAACAAAAAGGGCTTTGCTGGAGACATTATGCTATTAGCACTGCCCAGGAACTATAACCAAGTGCGGTTCTGGACAAGGGGTCTGTCACCACCCAAGGTTAGCCCTTGCCGCCAAAGAAGTTGAAAAAGTAAAGAAGAGAAATGAGAAGAGTGAAAAGGAGGGGAAGACAAGGGTGAAAGTAGGGAGGGGATAGTAGAAGTGGCGACTAGACTGAATCATCCTGGCCGGGCCTTACCAGGACTCCCGTCTACGAGAAGCAGGGGCCGAAGTGGTGTATTGCCTCACCCGGGGGGCCCCGAAGGGTCCAAACCTACCCCGGGCTCGGCTCAACCACCAGGATGCCCTTTTCCCCGGACACGGAAAAGCCACGCACAGCCAGACGTGGGCGGGCGAACCCGCATGGCTCGGGGTCCGTGGAGACGCCACTCTCCAAACACCTGCTTTCACAGGTGCCCCCTGCGGGGCCTCCAAGGAAAAGTTGAGCGGGTTCCGAGGCCGGGAACTGGGCGAAATCGTAGCTGGGAACGAGACTCGATGTGAGCACTTTGGTACGCATCGAGCGCTTCTCGAGACCAAGTCATAGGGATAGCTAAAATTGCAGCATTGAGGATGTGGGCACTAAGCAAATTGGTGACTTCATCGATAGACAGTTTGTTAAGCGATGTACAAGCAAGCTGGGTTGCCTGGCTGAAGACAGACCAGTTTGCTTCCTCAAACCTCCAACGGGGAGTTTGTGTAGGCATGTAACAGGTGGATTTAGTCGGTTCAGAATGATAGGAAAGTGATCACTCCCATAGGGGTTAGGATCGACAGCCCAGGAAAATAAAGGAAATAATGTTGGATCGCAAAGAGACAGATCAATAGATGTAAAAGAATGAGTTGGGGCACTGAAATACGTAGACTCTGCTTTGTTCAGCAAGCATATAGCTGTCGAGGAAAGAAAACACTATCATCGAGCCACGTGTATCTCGTCTTCTACTACCCCAAAGAGGATTATGAGCGTTGAAGTCACCGAGAATTAGGGCAGGTTGGGGTAATTGGTCGTGAAATGATTCAAGCTCTTCGCGGGATACAGGATAACTTGGGGGAATATAAAGCGAACAGACGGTTATTAAACGGTCAGACAGAACACGAACTGCCACGGCTTCCAGAGTAGTTTTCAAAGAAACCTCAACACATGGGGTAGACGTCTGGACAACTATAGCTACTCCACCAGAGCTGTGCGACAGAAGAGGTCTGTCCCTGCGAAAAACCTGAAAGCGCCT